GTCACTCAAGCTTAAAATCGCTTCAGTTGTGTTCCTTGGGCTTTTTTCTCTTTTTGTTTTTTCTGTTTTCTGATTTTCTTTTCGACCCTTTCCCCCCTTTTTAAACTTTGGGTGTGTCGCGGGAAAGATCCCGTACTGAACTTAGCAGTCTTCCACCAATCATATCCATTGTATCGGATTACAACTGTACATCTACAAACTCAGACGGGATGACTGGGAACATCGGAAACAACTACGGATGTGAGGAGAGAAAAAGTACCAAGGAAGAAGCCTTATTAGATACCCAACAATAGTCAATCGATTCTTAATTTTCTACTATCAGCTAGAAGCCCTAGGAATGCGACATGGATGGTGCAGGAAAAAAAAAGAAAGAAAAAAAAAGTAAACTTCACAGGACGATACATTCAGTATGGGCCTGTCGCTCGGCATACACGAACATCTGCCTGAGACTGTCGCGGTCACCGCCACAGTGCCACTGCCTAATGAGGGTCTGTAATAGATGCACGCCCAGAGCTACGTACCTACATACATAACATATGTATGTACCTAATGCATGTATGTACTTAACACCATGATGTTCTACTTCCATAATGATAATACTTGTAGTGACGATTACTGTATGTTTTTATTTACCCATTTTAAGTATTAGGTTTATTCAATGCCCTTTTGAGTTATTTTAAGCCCTGGCTGCCAAGCTAGTTTGTAAGAGAGAGAGGGAGAGAGAGAGCGAGAGAGAGCGAGACACCGGAAAAGAGCCCAAGGCCGCCACCCCCTAGAACCTCGCGAAGCGGCACCACCACAAACCCACTTTCGGCCATTATTTTGGTGGTCGGTGCCTTTCGGTTTGGTACCGTACCTGATACTGTCCGTACTCCCATACAGTGGTAACCAACCAACTCTACCACTGTGGGAGGGTACCTAAGATCGCTACCATGGATGCGTTCCCAGATAAGGTAGACGATAATAATAATAAGTTCAGGGGGAAGTATGTCATTTCATCTAGACGAATTGTCTGCAGAGAGAAATCCGTGAACTTCCTCTTCTTTTTTGGTTATTCTTCATTTGAATTTTTTCTTTTTTTTTTTTAATTCTATCTTAGCACTGGGTTTACTAATCCAAAGCGATTGGGTTTATCGTGCATACCTAGGAATAGCCCAGAACAATTAAGCTAAAATCGGGAAGCTGCGAGGACGGCTGAAGCGCTGATTCCCCCCGGTCACCCAAGCTGACGGTAAATACGGCATTGATACCAAACCGCTTCGAAACCTCTCTCAGGTCCCGCTCGGTGATCTTCCAATCACAATTGGGCCCTCCACACCTTTTGCTTTTCCCAGCAGCCGCTGCCAATCTCTCCATCCGCCGATATCCACACCACTTCCCTTTCCCTTTCCACCCCCCCAATTCCTCAGTCCCCAGTGACTGGTGTCATCCTCTTGGATTTTTTTTTCTCTTCTTTTTCTTTTTTTCCTTTTTCTTTTTTGATTTTCGATTTTCGATTTTCGATTTTCTAATTTTTTGAGCCCTTTTTGTCTTTTTCAGTCTTTCTCTCACTCAGACTCTCTACTTTCTTTCCTCATTCTCTCCTTTTCCTCTTTTGTCCCCTCTTTTCTATATTTTCTTTTTTTACTATTTCTTGCTTTCATTCTCGATCTGCTTAGTCGTTCCTTCCCTTTCCCTATTCTGATATCTGCTTATTAGTACCGCTGTCCGACTCAGTACATTCATTAATCCTCTCCCTCTCTGTCTTAATCCATCCGGTCTGCTGCTGTGTTGTATACCACCGCAACTATACCCAGCAACAACCTGTCAATCTCTCATTCCACCCAACCCTTCCTTTCATCCTTTTATAAAAGAGCTTATCTCTCCTCCCCATCAAAGAAGTCATTCTTAATCCAACCACTCATACTTCCTCTTGTGATCCAATTGTTCAATGATCTAGAACCGTTACCTATCGAGAGTTGCCGCTATCTTGTGCAGTAACAGGTCCGGTCTTAATATACCCTTCCCTCACCCTCTCTCCCTCCTCCTATTACCCTCACACGCCTACCACCGCAACCATGAATTATCTCCACCATCCATACGCGTATGCTGGTCATGCTGCGGTCCCCATGGAACAGCCCATTGGCTATGATCCGACAATGGCACACCCGTCCATGATGCACCCAATGGACGGCTACATCTATCCCCACCCACCTTTTGACATGATCGACTTCTACCATCAGCCCATTATGGACTACGAGGAATATGCAGAGAACTTGTCTCGTCCACGGTTGACTAAGGAACAAGTCGAGACCCTAGAGGCCCAGTTCCAGGCTCACCCGAAACCCAGCAGCAATGTGAAGCGTCAATTGGCCGCTCAAACGAACCTTAGCCTTCCTCGGGTTGCTGTTAGTGATTCCCCACTCTACATTTAGCGCCTCTTAACCTAAGCTAATGCTTCTTACAGAACTGGTTCCAAAATAGACGCGCAAAGGCCAAGCAGCAGAAGCGACAGGAAGAGTTCGAAAGGATGCAGAAGGCGAAGACAGAGGCTGAGGAGGCTGCACGGATCAAGACAGAAAATGCCGAAAAGTCCGAATCGAACCCAGATAACAAAGAAGAGACAGACAAGGATACCCCGAAGCAATCATCCGATCAAACCATGTCTGATGACCGTACCAAGACATCTGCTTCCAACTCACGATCGAAGCATCAGAAAACAAAGAGCGAGTCGGCTCGGGAAGCAACCTTTGCTTCATTGCAACGAGCGTTGAATGCCGCTGTTGCTGCTCGAGAACATTATAGTCCTGATGAACAGGGTCAACCTGCTACCATACATGAGGGCTCGGTGTCTCCGACGACAACATACTCAGGCATTAACAACCATGATGATAACCAGGCTGCTCAGAGCAATTCCACAACTCCGTTTTCCGAGTGGGAAAACACAAAGGAGACTGCGATGTCGTGGACTGCATCTCAGAGCCCCCAAGAGCATCTTGGCTACTCTGCCGCCGAGTCGCTGACTGTCCCGCAACTAGACGGCCCTCATCAAAATGCACAACAAAATGACACGCTGCAGTTCCACTCTTCACAGAATGAGGAGTGGTCCAGCCAGGTGCAAGGGACAAAATCCTTCCCTAGCTATCATTCATCCAGCGATGCTGAAACTTATAGTGCAGCTCAATATACCCTGCACCCGGAGAGCTCATTGCCAAGGCGAGGATCATCTGATGATCTCGCCGACTCCCTTGAAGGCATCGGGATTCATGCGGCGGGACTTCCGATCAGAACAGACCGGTCTTCATGGAAAGAAGCTGGCAAGGAACTTGATCTTGCGGCCCGGAGAAAGCGGCCGCGGCCTGCTGCTATCGGTACTTCGAGGTCGTCGTCCATGTTGGCAGGATCGTCATCTATGTCACCGACCACAAGACTACCAAGTTATGGCTCTGCACCTGGTGTGAGACAGTCGAAGTCAGCGCAATGTCTCAACACACGTTACGCAGGTGTTCGGAAAGCATCTGCAGCTCAGCGTTCGCCTCTGAATCTGTCTTCATTTGCCGAAGCCGGGACCTTGAGTACTTCCAAGCCAGAGATGTCATCGATGCTGTCGCCCGCTGTCACCACGGGCGGGCTGGCGCCACCAACACCCCTGACACCGGATGACCTGCATCACTTCCTTCCAAATACCCCTAGTGATGGCGGTTACTGTCTGTCTGCCCAACCCACCAGCCAATTGTTCCCCACAACACAGCCCATGCAAATCAACATTGCCTCTCCTCCCGCTACACCTCTGGCCATGGATATGCTTTCCACCTACCAATACCACAGTGTTGCTCCGCCAATGTCCGCGCCTGCCCATTATACTTCGTTTCCTGATTATGTCACTTGTGAAGGAGCCCCTTTGACGGGCAGGAGTTGGACAGGCGCCAACTCGATGCCTTCACCAGAGGCAGCCTTTCAGAGCCGTGTCCCAATCACCCAGGCGGATGTTCCATCTCTGTCGTATGGACAACCTGCTGATAACCTCTCCGCTGCTGGGTCACCGCCCTTAATGTATACCACGGATGCCGATATGCATACATCGACAGGGTCATTCCATGGTGATGCGAAGCAGACGGAGTTCTATATTCACGAATTCCCCGAGCAGCAGGAAGCCCATCGGTTTGTTGCGCAGCAACTGCCGCAGAAACCCAAGGCGTATACATTCAACAATCAAACGCCGAGCGATTGGAATGCAAATTAGAAAAAAAAAAAAAAAAAGAGGGAAGTAAAATAATTCGGCGTTTGATTTCATGTATGGGGGCTTACACACGGTCTCTCGGTGGTGATTTGTGCCATTACTCTGTATGCAATTCTATCTCTGTCTTTCCCTGTCGCATTGTCTGCTGTTACACCATGGGACTCCCTCATATCCCAGGTCTTGTCTGTTTGATTCCCAGAGCATTCGTGTTGGTGTGTTTCTTCGGCGTCTGCCATTGGCTTGTTTTTTTTGGTTCGGCTGTGAATTAGTACTGGGTTGGAAATATTTTTGGATGCTGTTGGATTTTGCATATGTATTTGGAAGCGGTTGGACTTTTTTTTTTTTTTTGACATATATATTTGGAGGCTTGATTTCTTCGTGTCACGTATTTAATAACCCCCCCTGTAATTACTACTAATACTGATTCTATGGATGACGATTGCCATTGCAGCATCGTCGGAGCTCTCGATTGGACACATGTGCTGCACCACTGGCTTATTTTATTTTCTACTTCGCTTTCTCTCTTTGCCTGGGTATTCGCTCCGAGAACGGAGGAAGCTGTGCCATGATGTTACCAATTGGCAAGTCGAGCGATATTAAGTCGATGGGTCTCGAGGGCCGTTAGCTCGCACGTGCTGGTCTGGTAGGCAACAAATCGCGATTACACTATATCATCATGATGCCAGCCACGCAGGCACCGGACGGAAACAATGCTATATAATGGAGGCCGCCGATCGGTGTTTCTTGAGTCCACGACCTCCGCCAGCATTGTGCCTCCATCATGAAGATCTCGGGCTTTACTTCAGTAGCGCTGGGCCTGGCTGCCTTTGCGGAAGCCTCGTATGTCAACTATACCACAGTACCTGGATATTTCTTGCAGGATGAGGCGACAACCGATCCATCCACCTTTGACTTCGTCAGTGCCTAGCTTACTTTCCCTTTCACCTCCGTCATCGCTAACTACGAATCAGACAACCACCAACTTCGGCCTGATCAATCGCACATACCCAACCGACAAAGGACATGGCGATAAGAACAACCACCGTACCCAGTGGGAGCGGTTCTACCACCAAGTAGTCGAATTGAACCGTCGATCACCTCCCAATGTCAATTACAAGATCTTATTCCTAGGCCGCCACGGCGAAGGTTGGCACAACGCAGCTGAATCATACTACGGCACGCCTGCCTGGAACGTGAGTACCAAAAGTCACCTGATGACCATGCTAAATCACCATCTTGCTAACATCAACCAGTGCTACTGGTCCCTCCTGGACGGAAACGGCACTGCCACCTGGCGCGATGCCGAGCTCACAGACGCCGGCGTCGAGCAGGCCCAAATCGCCCACGATTTCTGGCAAAAGGAGCTAGACACGCAACACATTCACCCACCGGACAGCTACTTCGTCAGCCCCCTAACACGCACCCTTCGCACAGCAAATATCACCTTCTCTGGCCTCCGTCTCCCACACGGAAGCACGCCCTTCCGCCCTCTGATCAAAGAGTATCTCCGGGAAGGAATCAGCATCCACACATGCGATCAACGTCGCAACCGCACATACATCCACGACCTATTCCCCACATGGCCCATCGAACGCGGCTTCACAGAGAAAGACGAGCTCTGGAACGGCGTAACAGCCGAAACCAGCGCCGCGCAGGACCTCCGCAGTGAATCTGCCTAGACTCGATCTTCCAAGCCGACAACTCCGGCCTCTTCGTCTCGATTACGAGCCACTCGGGCGAAATTAGCTCGATCCTTCGTGTGGTCAAGCATCGTACCTTTAAGCTTAACACTGGTGCTGTCATACCTGTTCTCGTGCGCGCCGAGACCGTCCCTGAGACCCCGACCACGACCTCGGTTTCGTGGACTGCTAGTGCGCACTGTACCGCGCCGCCTGTGACGTCTGTCGACTCGTGCGTGTGCCCCTCTACCGCAGTCCCTGTGACAACGCCCTTGGTTACTGTTTCTGTATAAGCCAGGATCGCGATGCCAATATACTGTCTGGGTGATTGGAATGTGTGTATCTATAAAATAATGTTCTTGCTATGTCTTGCTGCGCAAAAGAGTGTATACGTAGATTATGATTGACTGCGTGTGCTTATCGACGTGACATAGGATATCGTAAATTCAATCTTAACTACTGGAATGAAATAAAATTCCACCAAGATGCAAGAGAGAAGATGGCAAGAGCACCAACCATTGAGGCAAAATATCCGACCGGAAAAAAAATCATTGACATAGGCGCACGCGTGTAGTCCTTGCAACGGAGTACCTCCAGGCTGTTCAATCAACTTACCGAAAAGGAACAATCATAGACAAATGGGGAAAATGTATTCAAATTAGAAGCCCCAGAGCATGAACCTGCGTGCAATCTGCATACTATAAACACAAACATTGAAAACATCAACATACGCAACCAGCATCCACAGGGCGCAGAGTTCAATGTCCAACATGAACACATGAAGAGCTGAGTAGAGTGAGGACAATCATAAAATGCTCGGCAAAGTAATGACTGAGAAGACCAGTAGACTGCAAACGCCCGCCTAGACCAAACGAAATATGATGAGAAAAGAAGATCGCCACCGTCCTATCTGACCGGCCTTCTATCATTGACATACAGAAAATGCACAACTTCCATACTCATAACGTGTAATCCCCATGGAATCAAGGGAAGAGAACATAGAAACGAAATCACAACATCATCGGGTATAGCAGAGGGTATAGAAAGAAAATGCACAGATTATCATTAGCTGTTATCCTTGAGTAAGGATAGTGTATAGCAGGAAGCGGCATAACAAGGTGCTAGAAAGGGAGGAACGGCAAAACGAGCAGAAAGGGAAAAGGGGACATTGACAGTGTTCGATACACCAAGGTTACAACATCCTCCCAACGCCTCTTAGTCCCATGAACGCCAAAATTCTGGTCAACGCCGGCCATGACTTTCTCAGTTCGTAGGCTTTTAGTAACCGGACCATCCAAGTGGAGCTCCGGATTGACCTGGTTGCGGATGTCCTGGTTGCATGGGTCCGCCAGGTGTTGGGGCCCAGCCAGGCATGGCACCTCCCGCGCTCATTCCCATGGCGAGACCTGGCTGCTGGGGTGCTCCTGCCATAAACTGCTGACCACCAGGCCCCTGTGTCGAAGGGTACATGCCTCTTGCAGCTGTCATTGCAGCATATGGGGCCGCAGTGCCGCCTGGAAAGCCCATGGACGCCATCTGCTGTTGTTGAGGTGCCTGCGGATGATGTAATGGGAAAGACTGCGGCATTTGTGGCACAGACGGACGGGGTTGGTTCCGTGGAGACTGCGACGGATGTTGCGCGAGAGGTGAGGGCGAGTGTTGTTGCTGTGCATGTAGCTGGGAGGCATACTGTGGCATTCCCACAGCCTGCGGACCCGCGGCGGACAAGGGCGACGGTTGCGGTTGGGGCGGGGGTTGACCCCACATCTGCTGCGGTTGTGACGGGTAACCGTACGGGCCTGGAGGCTGCGGAGTACCTGCAGATAGAGAGGGGTTCGATCGCTGATGCATCAGGTCAGGGCGAACTGCAGGCCCCGTCCGGGCGGGTGATTGTCCCACAGGGGGTTGCTGGTGGGCCACCGCCTGCTGCAAGCCCGGCTGACCGGGTATCATCGGTGTTTGATGGGGGAGCATGGCCTGCTGCGGCTGGGTCGTGTTCATCATCGGAGCCGACGCGATCTGAGGAGACTGCAAGGGCTGAGATGCCGATGGAGCCGAATCGAGCTGCCCGGGTTGCGACTGAGCCGCGGACGCTGGGATCTCACGTTGCTTGGAATAGAAATCCTCCAAGCCTTTCTGGCGATAGCTGCGCTGGGAACTCAGAATCTTATTGAAGTCGGCAGTGTGAGAGGCCTGGTTCAGGATCTCTGCTGCAGTACTGGGTTGTGTCCGGTCTTGATACGGCTGACCCGTCAACTCCTGGCGGGCCCGAGGCATACTGTTGTACTCTCTCAGTCGTGGATCGTCCGTAGTGGTGGCCATATGGATCATCGGCAGCGGCGCGAGAGAAACGGACGACGGTGGACCCACAGGTAAGCTGTTGGGCATAGCTTCAAGCGCATTGCTATAGATGACATCGCCATGGGCTAGAGCTGGTAGGAGGCTGGCAGCACTCGCCGCTTCCGCCGCGGCTGCATCGCGAGCTTTGGCCCCCCCGGGGCGTTTCTCGCCCGCTAGATCGTCCTCCGTGAAACCCTGTTTCCGGGCCTTGCCCTCCCAATAATCATCACGCACTCGCCGTCCGTTCACGATCACTCGACTGCCAAACTGACGGAACATTGACCTTGCGGTCACAATGGCAATTTGACGGGACCGGTAAGAATAGGGAAGGATATCTTGCTGAATCAAATCATCTTTTTCGATCTGGGTGGCGATAATCTTGTGCAGAGATCGGTTTTTGTTGAACAACAGATATGAGTCGCGGTACCCAAGTACACGTGCGCATTCGGTTGCTAACATGAAAAGCTTCGTTCCACGGTGAGGCACACGGAACGTACGACATTTGTACTCCCGTTCGCCTGTAAGATAACCCATGGTATCGACCTTCTTCTCGCCAGCCTCATCGAATTCCTTTGGGATGTACTCGTCGCCCTCCTCGTTCAGTTGGTCCGTCGTGTGATCTCGGACAGTCGGGAGCGCTTTGACCAGAGTAGACTTGGTCGGGGTGGTCTTGTCCGGAGGTGATGCTTGCGGAGGTGATACACCCGCCTGGTGAGGGAGGGGCTGTGTTTGCATTCGCGGGGTTTGCATATGAACATTAGTCGCTTGATCGCCAATAGCCGTGGCAGAGGGACGCGGCGTCTTTGGAGGGCGCCCGCGCTTTCGACGGCCATGTTCGTCTGCTCCTGCTGGAAAACGGTCACATGGACCGCACGTTAGCCTTCATGGAACTCAGCATAAATAGCATAGGGGAAAGCGTGCACGAGTCAAATCAAATAAAACAATAAGTAGTGGTTGAATGAGACGAAGCGGCTCCAGAGTGCCTCACACGGCGTCTAACCAAGCCTTATGGGACCTCGCGACGCGCACATACCGTCGTCATGATCTCCATCAGCGCGGGACAATCCGCGCTGATCTGGAGTCCGACTCCGCTTGATCCCGCGAGGAGCGGTGGCTGCGCTCGTACCAAATGAAGGGGTGGGTAGAATAACTGCGACTAGCAAAACGCCGTCAGTTTGGAGGTTGTCGCGATGGACAAACACATAGATAAGTAAAAAATCGTCATGACCTCCATGAACGGCGGCGGCCGTACCCCAATGTAATCAACCGCGATAAGCGATCCAACATGGGTAATGTCTGAACAAAAATAATCCAGCGCGATGGCGGGATAAAAGCCAGTGGGAAAAGAACTAACGTGGGAGGGGAAAAGGCGGAACGCGAACGAGGCAAGGTGAGGGGAGTAAAAGAAACCGCTAAGCAGAAAGAAGAAAGCAAAGGGACCACATACCGTTGTTGGTATTCAAAGCAGCGGGATTAATAGTTCCCGAACCATCGACCAGGTCGCCTCCGATCCCATTCATGGGAGCGGAAACGGAGGAATGAGAGGTGCCATACATGGCGGGCCAAGGAGGACGGAACGAGGTTGAAGAGCCGTCGCAAGGCCGCAAGGCGCGTCAAGGGGAACGCGAAAGGTGTCAACACCAAAACGGGTGAGATGACGACTGGGTGGTGGGCTGCTGCAGCGAGACAAGACAGCAGAGGAGCTGTGACGATGCAAGTGATCCTCGGAACAATGAACGCAGACCACGATCTCGCATGCAGTGGGTGGTTGGACTGGAAGGTGGCAGGAAGCGGATCAGCGGGAAGGTTCAGAGCAAATCAGTACCGCGCGAGCTTTGACAGAACTAGCAATGGGTTGATAGGGCGGTGAGACACGCCGAGGAAACAATAGAGGCGAGGGCAGATGACAAGTGATGTGTGGCTTGACGGGTGGAGGTGACCAGGGACGGGGGGGGAGACACCGCCACACCTTGCGGCTGTGACGTGTGTTTTTCTATTTGGAGGGGTGTGGGTGGGAAAAGGCAATGGAGAGAGAGGGGCGAACCGGACGGGGGTTCCCTTTCCCAAGGTTCCTTTCCTGCAGAAAGCACAGTCACCCCGTTTGAAGAGCAATCGGCTTCAAGGAGGGGTTCAGCAGAGAACACTTGACGATGATTCACGCTGAGGGAACCGATCAGTGGGTACACCAGACTGGGGTTATGTGTGACCAACGGGACTGGTGTCTGTGTGTCGGTTGCAGGCAGCAGAACCGATGGGTTTATTGGGGTTAGAGTGAAAGGGGAGACAAACCAGGACCAGCAGTTGGGTGGAGACCAAAGTTGGAGTTGGGACTGGGAAAGGAAAGGGGGCCACCCCAGGAAATGAAAAGAAAAATAAAATTAAAACCACAGCAGATGATGAAAGAGGGAGGGAAAAAAGAAAAGGGTAAGGTTAGTTGAGAGAGTCGAAGGAGGGGGTCGGGACACGAAGGGTAGTTGAACGATAGGATCACAGCTCAAGGCGGGAGGCGGCGCCACACCCTCCCTGATTGGCCGTGCACCACTTGGGTCACGATTCACCGCGGGCGCATTGACGACGATCGTTTCGCTTCTCAAGTCAAACAAACTACTACCCTCCACCCCGTCGAAATCCTACCCTAAGCTTCTCGTCGTGCTCTGACGGTTGAAAATCAACCCACAACAACAACGACGGCCAGCAAGGATGCGGTCGACAAGATCAATCAAATCCCAGGGAAACGACTCGAGGTCCGAGGTCCGACAAGAATAGAAATGCGACCCCGATAGAACACGTATGACGCGCCCCCTCTAGCTCAGAAGGGAAACGAGAAAGACGAGAGGAGCGGACTTACTTCCCAATCACTTCCCCAGTCGTTACCTAATCTAATCTAGTATTCGTCCTCGAGGATTTATTCTTCCACTGGATGATACTGGACAAGCAGCATGTGGCCGATCGGGTAGCGCGGACGTACGGACGGACGACTAATTTAGTGCGGATTGGATGAGCACCGCCTGTCATGAAATCTAATCCCTGCACGATCGCTCGGTTCCGACTTATTCACGGCAAAATGCAGTCGCAGTCGGTTCCGGAGGAAATCGTCAAAGTAGTTGTTGTATTTCCAATCTCCTACCCCAGACAGAACTCAGCCGGTTCGGATGACTATAAAGAAGGAGGATGGCAGACCATCGGCATTGAAGTAGATCGATCGACAGTGCAATGGACGAAAGGGGTCTGATATCGATAGGGAATCAAGAGACTTTCGGCGATGATAACAATCCCCGGACGAAGAATGGGGTGCGATTGCGTAGATCAACCTTAGGTAGCAATGAATCAATCCATGCGTCCAGCTATTCGTGGATAAATGAATAGGACCAGTAGAAACACGATTACAATGGGATTTGGAATTGCAAAAAGAGGGTTCCAATGAAAGTCAAAAACAGAAAAACAAAAGGTAATCCATACTTTTGTCAGCAAAATGGAAATATATCGCAGAACCACCGCGGGGCAATCCTTGGGTTTGGTCCTCGGACAGAGCCGCTTCTCCCCCCGGAACGAATGGAGCTGACCAGCTGTGATATCACTTTCCCCAGAAGTGATTTCGGGGGAGAGAGGTCGCTCTAGGAAACTTGGGATTATTCTTTTAATTTTTCTTTTTTTTCTCCCTCCTTATTTCTTCTTCGTCTGTCCCTCTTTTGACCGTTGGCCCCTCAATGAGCTAGGAGTGCACGGAGCAAGTCAAACAGGAGGGGAAAGGCGGATTTCTGAAGCGACGGTTGTGGCTTGTACTGGATGGAATGATAGTACAAGAATCGTGTCGCAGTTAAACAAGGCAGATAGCGTGGAGGACAAGTGCAGAAGCCAATGAAACTGAGCTTAGTCCTTGCTAATAAGAGCTGCTGACGATGACAGCGATTGAACCATCGGCTTGATTAGTTGCAGACTAGTCCCTGGAATGAATGGCTTGCTTGGTGGATGCCTCCCGATGTAGGACGAGGTCAGCTCATCCGCCAAATACTAGTCATTGGTCAGTGATGCTTTCTCTTTTAGTATATCTACTTTAGACTCACTGGTACTCGTAGCCGGAGTGATAGGTGACGGGAGATCCTCAATATCCTGTCAAGGACCCCTACGTGGAGTCTAATTTATAGTAGTTTCGACAAAATCTTGCCTGACTACTTAACCAGACAAGACTGAAGAGTGAGAGCACGGAGCACTAAGTAATACCAAGATAGCGAAACTGTAAACGATACTAAGGAAAAGGCTGAATGATGTGATATGATATGATGATAAATAGATGGAGATGCTCGGTCCAGCAATCACCATCTAATTCTGTCCCTCTTTTTGGTTATTCGGGCTCTTTCCCTCTTGCCATTCACTGAGTCAGGATTTCTAGCGCAAAAATAATAATTGACATGAAGAGATCATCGGCTCTACTAAATCTGCGCGGAATGGAGGATCCGTGACTGATCGACTTTTTTTTCCTGATTTTCAATGGAATCTCACGCCTTTCCACTTCAGGACCAATCACAAGACACGCGCTTCTCCTCGCTTCTGATGGATGATCGACCGTTTCGTACGGTATTGTCATCCTCACCACTGGATTTCGGAGGTCATTTTGGTATTCATGGTCATAGTAACACCGCTAAAAAGGGAAAAGAAGAATAAATCAGAATAAGAATAATAAGCGCAGTAACGGCAACCAGGATAGCAGTCAGAAGCCGACGTGGCCCTATCAGTAGTGGAACGACCGTTAGCCTCTCTCTACATTTGCTGGCTAGGAATGGTCGATCTCCAAAGACGTGGAAGAGTCCGTCCTGCTACCGTGTCGATCCCGTCCTTAGTCGCCGGCGGAGACACTCTCACACACAAGCTGAGAAAAGCTGAACACTATCAAGGGGTCATCGGGGTGTGATAAGTTTATTTATTTAGAATTAGGCTTGTACGACCGGACAAAGCTTCCTCGGTCGATATCGATGTCATATCTGTAAACCAAATGGCCGAGAGATACAAGAGTTCCAGGGCATACTCTTCAGCGGAATTCCTAAGTAACTTCCCTGATTAGGGTTGACCCCGAAGAAGCCCCCATGGGCCAACGATCGACGGGATTTGACATGGCCAATTCTCCGTATGAATAAACTCAACGGAGGTATGCCACCTCCAAGCAAGAATAACAATGTAGAATAGAGTTAACGAGTAGTATCGTCATGCAAGACAGGCGGATGGAGTGTGAGACAAAAGATCAGAGACAATCGGAACCCATCCCGAAGGGGTCAACTATCCGCCATCACAACCGTTACATCTGGTACCCAGATACACTCCAACGTGAAATACTTGGATCGACCAGAGAAGTCTCTCCCGGCCGACCAGCTCCAGACGATGCCAGGGAGATCCTCGAATCCTATAGGCTACTCCGAGCACCAAACCCACAGAGTCCAGGCATTCCAACGGGCAGATGACCAGCGCCGACGACGGATTGACTTTGCACCGGAAGGTCACTTGAGCGGGAACTACAGTAGGCGTTGATCACTGGGGACCGTGCGTGGTTGATATTCACACACTCCCAGTAACTTACAGTACATCACTGGTAAGAAGGATACTCTCCCAAAAGGGTGGATGTCCTGAGATAAGACACATGGCGCCATCGCGACCATCATTGATCCTACGCCGCCCCCCACTTCAACCTCAAGATCAACGGTAGCACATTACCAGTATGTAGTAACTAGGCACAGCATCCCATCTCCGCCGTTTAGTCCTACTCGCCAGTAAATCTTAAACATCAACGGTTTCCATGGATTGAGGCCACTTCCAGACGTCGCATATCGTGTGGTTGCACAGTCCCCAGATGTCCTTTGACTATCGGGGCTGTGTTAGGCGCTTCTTCATTCCCACTGCCGCAAATTTTCTCTTTCATCCAATCAACATGACACGATTCAAGCTTTCTCAACCAGGTGCAGCGTAACCTATCCATGTCCTGCGGGAGATAATGAACGGACGATAGCCGGGAAGGCCCGGGATGAACGTGGAATCATTGGAGGTGATTCATGATGCCAAGCAACTAACCAGTCACAGACAGGGAAATGGTATGCAGGTCATCACCAGAGCAGTTCCACATCAGGTGCAGACCAGACCAGACCGCGGATTCGGAGAAACACTAGGTCTAGTCCAGCCGATGGCCTGTACTCTGCAGGGGTTGGACTGGGGAGCTCATAGCCGTCTCAACTGGACTGCATAACCTGTCCGACATGCCAGTGAACAGGTGGCGGTATTGGTGTTAACCGTCGGACAGAGTAATGGATACTTCGTTGCTGATGGAATTATGCCTTGGATGTGTCTGCATCTATACACTGCCGGGATGTTAAGCCCGCCCGTCATCGGTGCAGGTATCGTGGCCCTTACACTGGTGCAGCTCTATGCACGTCCCTGCACGCCGCAACTGATACTGTGAATGTATACCCACAGACCAGCTAAACGTGCGTATCGGGTGACCCGCCCGCTATGTATCCCATTTGTGATCAATCCGGTTGGGCAACAGTGGTTCAGAGTTTCAAAACTCGAACATCTCTCTGCGTCCCATGCAATTACCCGAGACAACGCAGCCCAGAATCTTGTATTTGACTCATGTGCAACTATATGGAGGCGACTGCAGCATTGCCGAGACTGGTGGAACGTACGTTGTATTCTCGAAACTTACTGGGATCAAGATGCAGGACAGGCTGTCCCTCGAAGCCCCTTTGCTCTCTCATCGGAATGACCATGGAGGCCGCGTCCTCGATTCGAGCGCAGCGTGAAACGACTCGAACATTCTTGTTTGTCTGGAGATGTACAGTTCATTTCCGGGTGCAGAGTCCCAGTACGCGCGAAGTCTTTTCCCGGACAATGTGCTAGATGGAGGAAAGTCCGGGGTGGGCGATGTCTGGTGGGTACTGACTTTGGGAGGCGGAAGTTCACGTACAATGTCTTCCTCAGTGCTCTGATCAGTAATGTCTGGCGCTTGGCCACAAGACACCATGTCGTTCTCCTCGAGCTTTGCGTCTACTCCGACAACCATCTCATCCAGATCAATAGCGCGAGTGATCTCATCACTAATTTCTATATCGGCTTCCTCGAGCCTTTCGCTGTTCCCGGCGTCTTCCTCATCTGGGGAAATGTCGTGAATAATCTCATCACTCGGCATCATATCACGTCTATCCAGTAGTGCTTCCTCATTTCCCTCAGACGGGCCCTCTTTGACAACGTCTTCTCCATCCCGACCGGCCTCGCCAGGTATCTCGTTCAAGAACACTACGTCACGGCTCTCACATTTTTTGACATTGCTGTCGTCTTCCTCCCAATTGATATCGTGAATGACGGTGTCGTCGCTACTGATATCAACATCGCTCAACTCGACTGCTGTTCGTTCATCCTCTTCTTCCACGTCTGTACAGACACTTTCATCGACATATCTGGGCGCATCACATAGTGTTCGCCGCGTTGCGAGACGAAGATAATATGGAACGAGAAGCACGATGAAGCAAGGAGAAAACGCGGTAGTCAGGGCAGCCAACGGTGGGCCAGCTTGGACCAGAAACGAAGGGGGCTTTCTAGTGATGGTGAAAAATACTACTGCGACCGTGATCCGCACAGCCGTGTAGAACTGTACGAGAACATCTGACGGTAAGGAGGATGTATGAAGGTCCATAGCCCCGAGTTGATTGACATGGGATGCCTCGCTGATTGTAAAACAGCGATTGACTGGGTGACTTTGAATGTTGCACGTACATCTCAACCTCCAATAGTAACAGTACATCCCAAATATGATGATTCAGGAAAACTTTATCGGGATTGGATGATCTCAGCCTGACCCGGCCAATGTTAGCGTTGCGTTCATGACAACAACGACTGGACCCTCAGTCCCACTGCAAATCTAGACTTCGGCCTGAACACCGTCCACCGAAGAGCATTGAAGTGTATCCAGAACTGACAATGGACGTACAGTGGTGAGGTACTGATGCCAAGGCTACTTTCATTGTGACCTCATTCTACACGTCCATTGTGATCAGTCCTGTGCTGGAGACGAGGGTCTTTACTGCTGGAGATGTTGACCTCCGATTCCATCGAAAAGAAACCGGGTTCGCTAGCGATAACCTCGGAGCATCCGTTCCCTCTTTATCCCTCGCTTTGTAGCTTCCAATTATGGTATCGTATCGCCTGCCCTCCTGCCATCCTGCTCTTCTGCTCTCTTCTATGATATCAAGATCGCCGTATAGCGGGTCCCTTTGTCCCAGCCAGTTCCCCGGACGTCCCAGCCCTTTGTCCACGCGAGACGGAGTTACCTTTTTCGAACCTAGTGTCTTTCGAAATCTAAAATGTAGATTATGACTTCAACTGGGGGGGGCAGTGACGATTTGTGGCAATGGAGCTGTCATATAAACCTTATATACGGTTCTATGATGGGTCATGAAGTCATACACATTGGTATTGTCAGAGTCAATTGTATGATGGGGCGAGTATTACATCATCACAGCCCATTCCAAGGCAGATTCCCCATTCAACGAAAACAGAAAGGAAAAGTGGACTGACTACTGTATGCTAGTACTTGAGAACGCACCCCACGGAGTAGTATGGATACTGTAGGAGTAGATACGCCATCTTTTCGACTTAAGATAACTGTATCTTTATTCGATAAAAAAGGCGTCAAATCAGACCGATGCCTCAGGTCGCACTGCGTCCGGACTCAGTGAATTTTCCTCCAATGGTTTCTCACCGAAGGGCAACTCCACACGAGTCTCGGCCTTAGTCAGAGATTAAGAGTCTTAGCAAGGTTTGCTAGCGTAACCCTTATCAGGGTTAGACTATTACCATTTCCGCCTAGCGCTACTCTGTATAGCAACGAGGCTAACCTTGAAAGTTTGACCCCGCAAAAAGCGGCCAATGGGCACACGTGAGCATCCCTGACTCAAATCGTTCGATTCCTCTTCGATTGAGTCCCTGCTGATTCTGGGTGTAGTATCATTCCACCTGCATTGGGATCTTCCGATGGCTCCCCTTCATTTTACTGAAAACACAAAGTGATGCGACTTTGAGTTGGTAATGTGGTTTAGCCAAAAATGCATGACTCGGTTGAGAAGGTTAAGACCGAGACTGAAAACGCACAGTCATGATTATCAACGACCGAAAAAAAAAGGGAGAAAAAAGTACCAAATGATTATCAATAATCATTGACGAGTAGACTAAACTGCCCCCCGGCGTGGAAGATTCCATGGTGCCGACGGAGCCGGACCCACCCCTTGGTCAGCTGGTTCACTTGGTTTTTGTAGTGGAGTCGCCCAGTAGTGCGCAGTACGCAACCCTTTTTCCTCCTGGCAGAACCTGCGCTGGTCTCGGTCAGCAATTCGCCTCACCACCGAAACCACGATGGGGTAGGCTACGGTGGACGTAGAAGGCCCTGGCAAAAAGGGACTAAATCTTCGAACACTTCCATGCATTATGAACCAGGTTTAGTTGGTGGCCGATGGCCAGGGGGGATTGGTGAGGGAAAGAGCCCCGAAGCAGTCTCCCGGTGGACGACTTAGTTGGGTCAGTGAGTCTAGGCCTCGCTGGATCGTCCGCTTGCAGAATCTGCCAGATCAGATGGTCATCAGGTCGGGTTTCTGTTTTGGGGTCTCCCGTACTACGCAACCCTAGTTTTCTTGGGTCTGGATTCTGGAATGCCTTGGCCTTTCTCTCTCTGGTGATTCCCCTCTCCCCTTGGCCTCTCTTAAGACTTTCCTCCCCCCAATCCATTTTCCTTTCTTCTCTTTTACCCTCTCCCCCAGATTTTCACTCGCATTGTGCTCCAATTTAGCGTACTTAATATTCCTCGCAATCTATCGCATTGACTATCACCGCGCAAGCAATTTCACTCCATTCAACTTATCGCTTAAACCATCCGACGAGAAAGCACAAGAAGAGAAGAAAAATATTACAACCGAGCAACCGCCGACCATGGCTGTAGCTACCATCGATATTATGCCGAAACAGGCGTCCTCCTCTCCTCTCTCCTCCAACAACCCTTCCATGAACAAGCGCTGGCCCCCTCTTGCCGACAAGACATCCCTGCCTTACAAGCTCACCACCCTGTCGCGCCAGAAGCTCGCCCGGGAGGCCACTGCCCCAGACCCAGATATCAGACGGTGTCTCGGTCACTTCCGCCTGCATGTTATCTCTATGGAGTGGGCACAGAAGGACATGACTACTCGGATCAACTCTTTCGAACTGGAGGATGACGAGTCCGAAGAGGAGGAAGAAGACAGCAAGCGCGACGACGCTCAGGACAAGGACTCTTACCGGAGTGACTCCTCCGAGGAAGAGAAGGAAGACTCCGAGACCAAGGCCAAAGAGAGTACTGCTACGGACGCCCCTTCGGACAAGGAGCCCGTCCAGGTGACCTTCACCGTCTCCTTCGACCAATCTGCTCCTGCTCCCTCTCCATCCGACGAGAACCAACAAGGTCTCCTAGAGAAAGGCCGCAACTGTCTCGAGAAGACAAAACACCTGTGGCAATCACCTGCGCAGTGCATACCCGTTCGCATTTCGGGGTAACCGGCGAGCCATTCCAATTATACACTACCACTACGCGTCCTGGGGACACCACCTACCCCCAGCAGAACATACGCATAATCTCCACTTACGAAGTCACGAAGCAACGAATCTCTTTTTTTCATTTCCATATACATATTTCAGGCCGGAAGCGCAAGCGCAGCAGGATCGGAGTTACAGGGTGTTCACAAGAACCACATCATCGACAAGCATGTATCTAATAGAAAAAGTCTCTCACATGAACATGTCACCACATGTGCAACTAAATAGCTATATAATAAGCCCAATCAAAAATCCAAAAACCATTCAATCAAAACCAAACTCATTCACTCATAATCCAAACCCAACCAGTACAAGTCCACCAGTACCTAACTACCTCAGTTAACTAACTACCCCAAAGTCTTAGTAATGCCCGTATGACTCAAAACCTCAAAAAACCAAAAACCAAAAAAGAAAAAAAGAAACCCACCCCCACAACCCAATGGATAAAACCAAGACAAATCACACGCGTCGTACCTGAAGTCGCCAACCACATCGATCTGCAGCACCTCGCAACCTGATAGGCGATTCTTGCGCCTCTCCCCCACAATCTCCCTGAGCCCACGTTGCGGTCTAAGGAAGACTAATTCCGTTGTCAGTAGTAAGCAGAATCCTGGGTCCGGCGAATGTGGGGAATTATCATCAAATTCATTGATTTCCTCCTTGCTTGGCCCTGCATGGCTATTTAGCCGGATTCGGAATTGCCGTTTTTCAAGTTTCTTCCTTTGGGGGGAGGTTTTCTTGGCTGTGGGGAAGGGAAATATCGTTGTTTTACATAGTATTTGTTCTAGTGGCCGTAGTCACGGGGAGGAAGGAGGAGGAGGAGGAGGATTCCGTCTGTAACTAGTACTAAGTACTAAGTAAGTACCTAGGCACCTTGCGTAGGTACCTAAAAGGGATAATTTACGCACCTGGGTACCTTTTAACCGTGATGGCTGTTCTCTCTTCGACGGTTTAATATCTGATAAACTATGTACAAGTATGAGCCCACTTGGGTATTCTTTCTTTTCTCCTCACTTTCATACTTACTTTCGTACTACCTGCTAGTATAATAAGTACTCAACACATTGCCTAAACTCTACTTCCACCAAA